TCAAATCTGGCTGGACATTCATAAAATTTCACCAAAGGGGCCAGTTGTATCCTGGGCTTTGTGGGACCTTAACCTTTTGGCCTTCCCCTGCTAAGAGGTATCGAGGGAGGATAGGTAGGATTTTAACTGGGCTCCGCATTGTGTTCTAATCAAGGCCCCAATGGGCTCCAGAGTAAAACCTTTCCCTGGGTTTCTTTTCCATGGGTCTCCCATAAAACCCAAGGACTGGGCCCACTTGAAAACTTGGGCCAGTAACCGCACAGTGGGCTGTTTTAATCGGCTGACTGGCGCCATAAATGAGAATTGGGCTTCTTGAAGGTAAAACCATTTTAAGGAATAGGTATGTTTATTCCATAGGGAAGTTTTTCAGGCCAACCTTGATGGTCTGGGCCGCCCTTTCTGAGTTTGTGTCTACTAGCCCAGGATCGCACCTCTTATATGTTAATCACAGGGCGCGGGGTCTTAAAAACGTATTAAAAGTTGATAAATCAATTTACGAAAGCATCCCGTTGGATTTGACGTCATCTGAACAGGACATCGCACGCTCACTGCTTGATAGCGCGCGAAGGTCCGTTTACGCCGGTTGCTAAACAACATCGTTATGGGAAAATGCAAGTCTGCGTCCAAATGGTTGGAAGATAAGGAGGAAGGACAATCAATACTGTATATAGTCAATGTGAGGTAAAGTGTGTCGCCAATGTAACCGGTTGAAACTCGAAGTGGCGATGAGGTCTTAAAATGTATGGAAAGGGTCTTAAAAAAGGTCTTAAAAGGTATTACATTTAACTTCAGGATTCCTGCATATACCCTGATCATGGTCCCTGTTTCTTTTTGTAATCTCCTAACTCCATTTTGTCTGTTTGGATCCACTAATTAGACTCTCTAAATGCACTCTCTATTTTCCATTGCAGGCTGACTTGGGATCCACTGATATGGCCCTGGCCCTGAACAGATACTTGTGTACAACTGTGCTCCCCCTGCTCACCAAATGTTCAGCTCTCTTCTGTCCATTAGAGGACCATGCTTTGCTGGTGGATTCTCTCATCCAGGCAATCTACGGCCTCTCCAGGGCTCTCAGCCTCACCAAGGCTCAGAGAGACACTATTGAACAGTGTCTGTTGGCCATGTGCAGGTAGTGCTTCTAGGATATGATAAAGTAACCTACCGTAGAGTTAGGGTCCTGTCTTCCCTTGGTTATTTCTGCAAGGAGTTGTTGCTGTCTGCAAGTTGCTAAAAGATTTTATATGGGATGCTAAAATGTTGATTGTGAAAGCTCTATCTTCTCTAATACCATTTTTAATAATTGTACTGCACCATTTGTTGTTGTATCCATTGACCTGGCTTTGTTGTTTCTGTTTGACCAAATGATATGTTGTGAAGAGAATGAGAGAGAGAGCAACAGATTATTGCTAATTGATGCAGACACATCAGTGCACTGTTTGTCCCGCTCATTATATTTGATGAATCACTAAAACGCCTTTTTTTGCCCAATTCAGATGTAATTAACCAAAGTCAATCAGAATGTTGAATTAATTGCATATTGCCCGTGGCATCTTTTCAATTATATGTGACATCTTTCTGAGACATGATAATCAGTCAAAACTGATCATACTGTGTGTGTGTGTGTGTGTGTGTGTGTGTGTGTTTTCATTCATCTGTGTCCTCAGTGAACTCCAACCATCTATGATGCAGCCTCTCCTTCGACGCCTTGTCTTCGATGGTCC